ACAAAGGCAGCTGGAGATAAAGGCTCAGGGACTGGACCTTTTGAACTTTTCAAAAATATGGTGAAACCTAGAAGACACAGTAAAGAAAGAGCTGAAGAAAGAAGTGAGAGTAGAGAAAAGATGAAAAGAAGAAGCACTTAACATCTGTCTTGGATCATGAAGCAGAAAGTGCAATAGCTCAATTAGATTCTGTAAATAATTCTTATCATCATAAGAGTGGCAGCAATGGAGGGACAAGTACAACAAGAGATCCAAAAAGAGGGAGAAAGATAAATCTGGAGGCACTTGGCCCAAGTACAGAGGTGGGGGAGTGAGTACCAGGGATGCAACAGTAGCACAATTATGTACACAGAAAGGAAAAGAGAGAGACCTCAGCTCACTGTGTTCTTTCCAAACCCCATGACTTCCCAGTATTCATGTGACGAGAAATCTTACGAAAGTTACCACCATGATAGATACATGAGCTCAAGATCAAGTCCTAGAGGTACACCAACTAGCCCAAGGAGTCAGCAGCTTTCCCCCTACAATAAAAGTGTAGATATAAGTGCAAAACCTTCATCTTATAGTAGTGCATCCCAAGTTTATTCCAGTCCACAGTCCAGTAGTAATGTATATCCCAGTCAAGAGGTGTATTCTAATGTAGGTCCACACAACACCTCTATTGAAAGAAAAAGTGAGGATTCAGAAAGAGATAGAGATCGTTTAAGTTCCCTTACATCTGATACGTCACTTGATTTCTCTGTGAAGTCTGGGAAAGTTGGCAAGGCTGAGCTGGAGTACTATGTAAAAGAATATTCTGAAGTATCCTCCAAGTGATAGTGAGAGCATAGACAACAGTCTTCAAATCAGTCAACCTCCTGTGTATGGTACGAGGCCATCCCCACTGCATCATGACCGCACTCCCAACTCACGCATTCCTCACCCTCATTCGGGCTTTATTCTCCACCAAATCCCACCTTTAAGATCACCTCAAGGATTTGGTCCTTATCCTCATTTGTCACATTTCTCCCTCAGTCATCCTCACCAGTATCCTCATAGTTCTGTAGGCTCTTCAATATCTGCCGTCTCTCCACGCTACTCGTCGCCTCCCACCTTGCCTGTGGTTCCTTCACACTACCTGTCACAATCTAGGAGTGGAGATAGCATTTTTCCCTCTGGACTGGAACGTGATCCCGAGATGGTCGGGGCTACTATGAAAGCCGTCAGGCATCCTCCCCCACACCAGTTGGTATGATTGGGACTGTAAGTGGTGGAGTTTTCTACCACTCTCCTTCCCCATCACTAGAGTTGCCTGGCCATCACAAACCCCGTACTCTTCATCATCTTCACCCATACCGTCCAACATCTGATGATCATCCACTGCTTCCTCACCACTCTTGTCCTCCGTCTTACCACGATTCTCAACGCTTCACGGGTACCATGCCTCGCAAAAAAGAAGATGAACGAATCAGGTAATTCTTTTTTTTCTTTTTTAGTTATTTATACTTTTTTGGAAAAGAATGGTAACACAGTCTCTATGATAAAAAATTGACATCATAAAGGGAAGTATAATTGATTAGGGTGCTTACTTTTATATCATGAGATTTTGAGAAATATTGTAGCAGATTGATTCCTGTTTTAAGTAGTTGACAATTTCTCCTTGGCGGGTTGAGATTTTTATTATTTCAAAATGTGTGGTAATGTGATTTGATCTCTATTTTCATGGTGTTCTGTTCAAATGATGAATAAACTAATATTGTCCTTTAAGAATACCAAGCAATGCAAGTGTTGCAAGCAAGAGCAGTGGGGGAAAGGGAGCAGCCTTGAGAGAACATCAGAGAGAGGATCCCCAATGCCTTTTACATGTTCCGTGGAAACAGTCGGTGGGGGTGGAGTGTCAGCAAGAGGACAACACATCACTCACATCACACACTCTGTGCACAACCCCCATTATCCGGACTATACTTGGCAGAAGAGGTATATTGACCTTTCATGAAGGAATGGTTATACATATTAATCACTGAAAGTCATATTTGTTTAATAAAAAACTTTATATTAATGTTTCATTTTTGTTATTATTTTCTTGTGATATTTTTTCATGTAGAATACATATATTTTTGCCAACAGACCACATTCAGGAGAAATTAGAATATTGACATAGAAAAGTCTGCAGAGCCTCTGGGCATCCAAATTCGTTGTTTAGAGAATGGGGTGTTTTTGTCTCTGCAGTAACACTCAATTCACTTGCCTCCCAGGTATGGCTTATTCATATTCTTAATTGTCATTGTTACATATTCTACACTGTAAGATCTTGTGACCACATACTGAAATATTTACATATATTGTGATATATGTCCTGAGTTTAATTGATGAATGATTGAACAGGTTGGGTTGTGTGTTGGTGACCAGTTATTAGAGGTTTGTGGAATCAATTTGAGATCAGCTACAAAGCAGTCAGCCTCAACAGTACTTTCCCAGTGTGGCACATCTGTACCATGCTAGTCCAATATAATCCAGAAAGTAAGTGAAAATGGAGTTGGGTATTTAAAGTATTTTTTTTTGTAATCTCTATTGCCAGCTAGTTTTAAACTGTTATTGTCTATGGGCAAGCTAAAAAATTTTTGGTTAGACGGTTGCTTATTAACTTAACTGTTTATTTTACAGAATACAAGAAGCAGAAGGTTGGGTAGGCAGCAGCAGCAGCAGCAGTGTCGGAGGTTCTCGCTCGGGCACCCCAACCCTCGCAACTCTCCCAAACCAACCTCGCATGACTCTCCCCATTCTGTAGATGATGATAACATGCCTCCATCATCTACATCCACTCTCCGTAGCCCACTGGATCTTCGTGACACTCTTGACCATTCCCTTGATCATTCCTTGTCGCCTTCTGCTAGATCCACACTCACCCGTCCTGAAATTGCACATGTGATGAACTCGCTTAAAAGAGAAACATTTTCGGTGTGGTGTATGAAGCTTTTCAATACTTGGGTTTTAATTTCAGTGAAAATGTTTCTATGTGGGTGTATAAAAACATCGGATTGTTGTTAGATACTGTTAGAAATAATTGGTGGCAGATTATTCCACATTAATTCCATTATTCATTTTCAGGCGTAGTGAGAATGGTGGTTTGGTAACAGTAATGGTGGTGTTAGTAGTGGAGGCAATAATCCTGGAGCAGGCAGTGGAGGAAGTGGAGTCAGCCCTAATAATGCAAGCGCAGAACCAAGACTGGTGTACTTGGAGCTTAATAAATCCCACAATTTGGGAATACAGATGGTTGGGGGAAATGCTCTGGGATCTTTGTCCATGCTGTTCCTCCAGACTCCCCGGCAGCTAAAGCTGGGCTCCGTCCCGGTGACCACATCCTTGAGTACAATGGAGTGGATCTCCGACATGCTACTGCTGAACAAGCTGCCTTGAGCTTGCAAAACCTGCTGATAATGTCAAAATGCTAGTGCAGTACAATTACCAAATGAGTTCAAGGAAGACATTGTTAACTGAGAAATCTGTGATATTAGGTTTTATTTCTATATTGATAGTATTTTCCCTTTTTCTTTCCTTTCTTTCTTGACTTTCAAGTACTAATTACTTAGTTTAGCAGCGTCTTATTTGTTCATGATTCCATTCATGTTGTTATTTGCTAATGCTTTCAGGATATGAAGAAATTCAGGACAAACCTGGTGACAGCTTCTATATACGTGCATTGTTTGATCGATTGGGTGACGCCGGGGATTCTACTGATCTTCGCTTTCGAAAAGAAGACATTTTATATGTAGATAACACAATGTTTAACAATGTGCCTGGTCAGTGGCGAGCATGGGTTGTGGATGAAGATGGACAGAAAAGACAATGTGGAACAGTTCCAAGCAAAGACAAGTAAGTTGAACAAGTTAATTACTGTTTTGTTTACCCACTAACAGATTGATGGTGGAAAGGTATATTCTTTTTCTCTTTCTGCTTCCTCTCTTTTATTCTCCCTCCCACTCTGTTCTCCTCCTCCTCCTTTCTACCCTGTCTCCTACACCTACTCCTCACCCCTGCCTCTTCCTCCTCTGCCATTACTAGCTTCCTTCTTGTTCTTATTCTCCTTCTTCTACCTTCTCTTCCTTCTACTTTTTCCTCCTCCTCTCCTTCTCCATCTCCTTCTTCTTTGCCTCCTCCTCCTCGTTAGCCTCATTATCTTCCTTTAACTTGTCCTCATCCTTTTCCTTCTTCTCTGCATCCTCATCTTCCACTAATATGGCCCTCAGTTTCTTTAGTTTCTTTACCACATTTTCTTTATAAAGAGCCCTTTTTTTGGTATCTCATTGGTATTGGGATGGCAAAATACATGCCATGTCCATTTTTTGTTTGTTTTGTTTGCTTGTTTGTGTATTAACTGTCTTAGTCCTTAATGGCTTCTCAAGTAATTAATCACTAAGAGTCAATTACTAGTCCCACATATTAAACCTATTTACCAGATTGAAAAAAAAAGTCTTCGTTCTTTTAATGTTGTTAAGGACATTATAATCATCATAATGCCAATACTGATAATAATATCAGTATTTATAGCATTTTTCTGAAATCTCAAGGAAAGGGAAAATCGGGAAAGATCATGTAGGCTCCTTGATAGCTCAGTACTTGTGGAGCCATCCATGTGCAAACAAAATTCACAAAAGAAAACTATAGTACATTTACATGGCAGCAATGAGTTAACAATTTTGAATGTCAGTTTTATACATTTTCCTGTGTTGCGTCTACCCCTTATGAGGACATCACAGTTTTTCTTACAAGGATGAAAGTATTGATGATGACCATTTGTGGTGGAACTGAATCTCTCTTTTTGAGGGCTTATCATTATATAGATATATGGAAAAATATATAGCCTTATCAATTAATTTTGATGCATGAGGTATTATAAATATTAAGTAGGAGATCATACACATTAATGGTTTACATTTTATACTTCTTTTGGGATGGATTAGTTGTACACAGTTGCATAGAGGAATTTTCTAGTCCTAGAACATGTTAGCATGAGCATGTAAGCATATAAGCCTTCTCAATGTATTTCTTTTCCTATAAAAGGTGCTTGTTAGGATCCATTATGCTTGGGAGCTTTTATAACTTTCAATTCCTGGTACTTTGTTTGAGATTATAAAGCATTGAAATCAGCACAGTAGTTGATGCTGAACAATTAATAAAAAAAAGTGAGAAGTCATAAATTTGTTGAAGGCCTTTTCACCACATTGCCCTGAAAAAGATAAGAAAAAGGCATAGTCATTGTGTTTTCTTGTTCTTCCCATCATTGTTTTATTTACATATTACAGTTGATGATACTTTTGTAGTTTTCTGAGTAAGGAGACCTGGAATATAACATCCAGGGTAGTATATTCAGGATAGTATTATACCTGTATTATGTGGATTCATATATGTATATCTCATAGCATGAAGTACAGCATGTATTTAGAACTCTCTTAAATGTTTTCAAGGTGCATGTTGTTGCAAAGAATTTTTTTGTCTCCTCTTCTCTTCCCAAACCCTTCCCTTCTTTTCTCTTCTTCTCTCTCACTCTGTCTCCTGTCATCTCTCTTCTCTTTCTCTTCTATTTCTATTTCTGTCTCTCTCACTCTCTCTCTTTCTCTTTCTCTCTCTCTCATATTTTCTGTGACTTGGCCGGATATGAGAAATTAAAGTATTTTTTGTGATAGCTGCCAGATATTGGCCACAACTAAAGTCAAAAACAAAATGTACTTCTGTAACTTTATATTTTCATTGCACACAAGCAATGTATCAGACAGGGACAGAGGCAAAGGGATAAGAAACTGGGTTGGCTGCCCAAAATGTATACTTGAATTGTATTAAATGTTTACTTTACTCATACTAAAAACTGCAGTTTTGAGCAGTCTTATAGATATGCTCAGAGAATGAGAATTAGGATTAAAATGCAAAAAGTAATCGTAGAGATATTAAATACATATATGCAGATTGTTTTTTTTGTTTGCATCAAAATTAAAAAGTGTAAAGTTTCATAAAAGCATTCAGTAAATATCGAACAAAGCCGAGATTAGATTGATGGCATGGCTAAATTTCCCTTTACTAATTTGCTTGATAACCCAGGGTGGAGGAAGAGATGAGGCTGCAGCGAAGTGTGGGTGACCTTCAGATGGACTCAAGCCGAAGAGGGTCGACGTCTGCTCGACGCTCCTTCTTCAAGCGCAAAAAACATTCCCGATCATCATCCAGAGACTCCAAAGAGTTAGCCAGCTTTTCTGATGCCTCTCTCAACTCTTACACAGAGTCTACACCGATGCATGAAGAGCCTGTTCCACACTCCTACATCAGAGTGGAAAGGCTAGACTGTAAGTACAGTTCAGTGACCCATGGAAATCTTAGGATTTTACAATAAGTTTGGAATGCTTTTTGCAATAGTTGCTGTTTTCTATTTAATTCCTTATTAATTTATTTATTGAAAACTTTGGCATAACATGTATATATTGATAAAATGGAGCTGAGACAAAAGTTTTCAAATCCTCCTGAATTATATCTTCGGTTCCTATCATTCATTAAAAATTGACATAACCATATATAAAGAACAAGATGAAAATTTACTGCTCCTAAGTGAGTAATGAGTTTCTTCAGAGGATAGATATTATTTGTTAAGTGTTAGATGTGAGCTTTAGCCATCACCTGTGTACATCAGTAGATGAATATAACCATTAATTGATGATTATTTAATATACACAGCAAGCTGCTGCTCTTCCATTCCATCCCTTTCTCTTTCCTCATTTCAGATCTGGTGCGTCGTCCAGTGGTGATGGTGGGTCCACTGTGGGAAATAGTCTGTGACAAACTGGTTCATGATTATCCACACAATTTTACGAGATGTGTGCCAGAGGTCAGTTGGCTCTCCTGTGATGAAATGGAGACTGCAGTCCAGAAGAACTTGATTGTTGACTATCGGCGGAGGGGATCTCACTTCGAGGCAACAACTGTCAGTCAAGTGAAAGAAATATGCGATAAGGTAAATCAGTGCTGGGGGACTTGTGTACTTGAGTGAGTGAGCGTGTATAAGAGTGAGTGTGTGTGAGAGCGTGAGTGCGTGTGAGTGGGCCATAGTGTGTGAGTGACATGAGTATGTAAGTGTGGCGAGTGCGTAAGAGTGCAAGTGCATGAGAGTGCGTGAAAGAGTGAGAGTGAGTGAGAGTGCGTGTGTGTGTATGTGTGTGTATGTATGAATGTGAGTGAGTGTGTGTATGTATGAATGTGTGTGTGTGTGTGTGTATGTATGTGTGTGTGTGTGTGTGTGTGTGTGTGTGTGTATGTATGTGTGTGTGTGTGGTGTGTGTGTGTGTGTGTGTGTGTGTGTGTATGTTGTATGTGTGTGGTGTGTGTGTGTGTGTGTGTGTGTGTGTGTGTGTGTGTGTGTGTGTGGTGTGTGTGTGTAGTGTGTGTGTGTGTATGTGTGTGTGTGTGTTAGCATGTGAGAGTGTGTGTGTGTGTGAGAGAGAGT